GGACACGACTGAGTGACTTTTACTTTCACTTTCTTTCCTTTAAGAATTAACCAAAAGAAACCAAGGTGTATGATCCTAAGCTGTCAAGGGTAGAAAATGGATTCTTGCATATCATTTTCCCTTTCACTATAGACTCAAAGTATAGAATATGTATGTGTAATATGGATTTCAGCAGACATTGAAGGAGTGCCAGGGACTCTGCCAGTAGGAACAGAAGGGTGACCATGTAGCCCAGAGTTTCATTAGAGACACAGACTTGTGGATACTTAACTATATATGACTAGAATACAATGGAACGAGTGATTGTATTCATTTTTTCTTTCACTGGGCATCCTGGGTAAGGTGATTAAGAACCTATGGTCTTCATAGCAAAAATCAACAAAGCTAAAAGCTGGTTTTTTTAAAAAATAAACAAAATTGACAAACCATTAGCAAGACTCATCAAGAAACAAAGAGAGAAGAACCAAATTAACAAAATTAGAAATGAAAATGGAGAGATCACAACAGACAACACTGAAATACAAAGGATCATAAGAGACTACTACCAGCAGCTCTATGCCAATAAAATGGACAACTTGGAAGAAATGGACAAATTCTTAGAAAAGTATAACTTTCCAAAACTGAACCAGGAAGAAATAGAAGATCTTAACAGAGCCATCACAAGCAAGGAAATCGAAACTGTAATCAGAAATCTTCCAGCAAACAAAAGCCCAGGACCAGATGGCTTCACAGATGAATTCTACCAAAAATTTAGAGAAGAGCTAACACCTATCTTACTAAAACTCTTCCAGAAAATTTCAGAAGAAGGTAACCTTCCAAACTCATTCTATGAGGCCACCATCACCCTAATTCCAAAACCAGACAAAGATGCCACAAAAAAGGAAAACTACAGGCCAATATCACTGATGAACATAGATGCAAAAATCCTTAACAAAATTCTAGCAAACAGAATCCAACAACATATTAAAAAAAATCATACATCATGACCAAGTGGGCTTTATCCCAGGAATGCAAGGATTCTTTAATATCCAAAAATCAATCAATGTAATACACCACATTAACAAATTGAAAGGTAAAAACCATATGATTATCTCAATAGATGCAGAGAAAGCCTTTGACAAAATTCAACACTCATTTATGATTAAAACTCTCCAGAAAGCAGGAATAGAAGGAATATACCTCAACATAATAAAAGCTATATATGACAAACCCACAGCAAGCATCACCCTCAATGGTGAAAAATTGAAAGCATTTCCCCTGAAATCAGGAACAAGACAAGGGTGCCCACTCTCACCACTGCTATTCAACATAGTGTTGGAAGTTTTGGCCACAGCAATCAGAACAGAAAAAGAAGTAAAAGGAATCCAGATAGGAAAAGAAGAAGTGAAACTCTCTCTGTTTGCAGATGACATGATCCTTTACATAGAAAACCCTAAAGACTCTACCAGAAAATTACTAGAGCTAATCAATGAATATAGTAAAGTGGTAGGATATAAAATTAACACACAGAAATCCCTTGCATTCCTATACACTAACAATGAAAAAACAGAAAGAGAAATTAAGGAAACAATACCATTCACTATTGCAACAAAAAGAATAAAATACTTAGGAGTATATCTACCTAAAGAAACAAAAGACATATACATAGAAAACTATAAAACACTGATGAAAGAAATCAAAGAGGACACAAACAGATGGAGAAACATACCGTATTCATGGATTGGGAGAATCAATATTGTCAAAATGGCTATACTACCCAAAGCAATCTATAGATTCAGTGCAATCCCTATCAAGCTACCAACAGTATTTTTCACAGAAATAGAACAAATAATTTCACAGTTTGTATGGAAATACGAAAAACCTCGAATAGCCAAAGCAATCTTGAGAAAGAAGAACGGAACTGGAGGAATCAACCTGCCTGACTTCAGACTATACTACAAAGCCACAGTCATCAAGACAGTATGGTACTGGTACAAAGACAGAAATATAGATCAATGGAACAGAATAGAAAGCCCAGAGATAAATCCCCGAACCTATGGACACCTTATCTTCGACAAAGGAGACAAGGATATACAATGGAAAAAAGACAATCTCTTTAACAAGTGGTGCTGGGAAAACTGGTCAACCACTTGTAAAAGAATGAAACTAGAACACTTTCTAACACCATACACAAAAATAAACTGAAAATGGATTAAAGATCTAAATGTAAGACCAGAAACTATAAAACTCCTAGAGGAGAACATAGGCAAAACACTCTCTGACGTAAATCACAGCAGGATCCTCTATGACCCACCTCCCAGAATATTGGAAATAAAAGCAAAAATAAATAAATGGGACCTAATGAAACTTAAAAGCTTTTGCACAACAAAGGAAACTATAAGCAAGGTAAAAAGACAGCCCTCAGATTAGGAGAAAATAATAGCAAACGAAGCAACAGACAAAGGATTAATCTCAAAAATATACAAGCAACTCCTGAAGCTCAATTCCAGAAAAATAAATGACCCAATCAAAAAATGGGCCAAAGAACTAAACAGACATTTCTCCAAAGACATACAGATGGCTAACAAACACATGAAAAGATGCTCAACATCACTCGTTATCAGAGAAATGCAAATCAAAACCACAATGAGGTACCATTACAGGCCAGTCAGGATGGCTGCTATCCAAAAGTCTACAAGCAATAAATGCTGGAGAGGGTGTGGAGAAAAGGGAACCCTCTTACACTGTTGGTGGCAATGCAAACTAGTACAGCCACTATGGAGAACAGTGGAGATTTCTTAAAAAACTGGAAATAGAACTGCCATATGACCCAGCAATCCCACTTCTGGGCATACCCACTGAGGAAACCAGATCTGAAAGAGACACATGCACCCCAGTGTTCATCGCAGCACTGTTTATAATCACCAGGACATGGAAGCAACCTAGATGCTCATCAGCAGATGAATGGATGAGGAAGCTGTGGTACATAAACACTATGGAATATTACTCAGCCATTAAAAAGAATTCATTTGAATCAGTTCTAATGAGATGGATGAAACTGGAGCCCATTATACAGAGTGAAGTAAGCCAGAAAGATAAAGAACATTACAGCATACTAACACATATATATGGAATTTAGAAAGATGGTAATGATAACCCTATATGCAAAACAGAAAAAGAGACACAGATGTACAAAACAGACTTTTGGACTCTGTGGGAGAAGGCGAGGGTGGGATGTTTCGAGAGAACAGTATGTATATTATCTATAGTGAAACAGATCACCAGCCCAGGTGGGATGCATGAGACAAGTGCTCGGGCCTGGTGCACTGGGAAGACCCAGAGGAATCGGGTGTAAGAGGGAGGTGGGAGGGGGGATAGGGATGGGGAATACATGTAACTCCATGGCTGATTCATGTCAATGTATGACAAAACCCACTGAAATGTTGTAAAGTAATTAGCCTCCAACTAATAAAAATAAATGGGGGAAAAAAAAAGAACCTATGGTCTTAAAAACACTATTTCTTCTCTTTCTGACTTTGTTGTATGGCAGAAACCAACACAACATTGTAAAAAAAAAAAATTCTTTTCAATTTAAATAAATAGAAAAAAAATAACCTATGGCTTTTATGCTCATGCATATGAAATCTAGATAAGCCTGTACAAAGTCTACAGAAGAAGGCCATGCATTCTGCCACAGTTGTTGGGAAGGGAGAGGAACCAGGGACAGGCTTTCAGCTGTCACAAAATGGGTGTGGGATCATAAAGGCTTCCATCCATACAGAACTGCACAAAAATAATATTTGTAGCAACTTTATTCATAATTGCTAAAACTTGGGCAACTGAGATATCCTTCAGTAGGTGAATGGATAAGCAAACTGTCCACTCAGGCAGTGGCATATTATTCAGCAATAAAAAGAAATGATGAGCATACCATGACAAGAATGGGGGGAACTTTAAATTCATGACACTTAAGTGAAAAACACCAATCTGGAAAATCTCCATACTGTACAATTCTAGCTATGTGACATCGTGAAAGGGGCAAAACTGTAGACCGTAAAAAGATCAGTGGTTGCCAGGGGTTCAGGGTAGGGGAAGGAGGAGGAGTGGAAGAGGGGAGCACAGTGGGTGTTTAGGGCTGATGAAACTTGCCCATGTGGTCCTGTGATGGGGGCTTTATGATGTTAGTGCCTTTGTCAAAACCCATAAAACTATAGACACAGAGTGAATCCTCATGTATGCTGTGGTCTTCACGTGGTGATATGTATTAATATTAATGTTGTCAACAGTTGTAGGAAATGTACTGCACTAATCCAAGGTGTCAGTAAGAGGAGACCCGGGGTGTAGCGGGTGCCTGGCATGCACTTGTACTCTGGGTACACACTTCCTGCTCAACCTTCTGTAAACAGCTCTAAAAAATAAAGTGTATTTTTTAAACTGTGTTCTGTTGGAGTTGATTTTACAATGTTGAGCTTTCCCCTACCCTGAATCCCTGCTGTATGGCAAAGGGGTGGTTATACATAAATACACAGTTCTTTCTCATGATGGTTCATCACAGGGGATTGAATAGAGTGCCCTGTGCTCTACGGCAGGACCTTGTTTCCCCAGCCCCTGTATCGTAGTTTGCATCTGTTAATCCCAGACTCCCAATCCACCTCCTCCCCTCAGCATCCACAAGTCTCTTCTCTATGGGTCTGTTTCTGTTTTGTAGATAAGTTCATTTGTGTCAATTTTGCATTCCACGTGCAAGTGATATCGTATGGCATGGGTCCATTTTTTTAAGGGGCGTAGTGCCTGGCATTGGGGTGAGGAAAAGACGGCAGAGATGAGCCTCTAAGCATGAGAGCAACATGGGGCGGGAACCAGCGGTGTGCACGGACGGGGCTGGTGGCCTGGGTGTCACGGGGTGGTGGGTGGGGAGCTGTTACAGACCCGGGAACGAGAGCCTCCTGCAGTGGGAGCCCTGGTTTGTTTCCGTCGCTGCCTGTCTCAGAGGGCGTAACTCCTGCTCTTTCTGTTCCCAGCAAAGAGCCCCCGGGAAAGTGTTGCTGGATGCCGTGTGCAACCACCTCAACCTTGTGGAAGGAGACTATTTTGGCCTCGAGTTTCCCGACCACAAGAAGATCACGGTAGGTGATGTCCCTGAGACGTTGCTATTTTACCATCTGTTCGACTTGAGAGAGGGTAGTTATCAGGACCTTTCTGAGCCTGACGGGAGTGTACACCAGAAAAAGTGCCCAGAAAGCCCTTGATGATCTGTTTTTGAAAGTAATGTGTGCGCATGATTAGCAAGTCCACAGAGAATACACGATGCAGGCTACCTCTCTCTCACCCTCTCCCTCCGGGAACCACCATCACCAATGTCTTGTGTGTCCTTCCTGTAAAAGTCTGTATGTGTGCACACAAACACATAGTTTTGAAATATGATAATGTGAAGAAACAACACACAGTGCCCTATACTCCACCCACACACCATTCCTATATCCTGAGATATAGGAATAGTGATAAAGGAACTCTCTTTTCAGCACAGAGAGTCTACTTCCTTCCTTTTCACGGCTTCATGCTATTCCCCTGAATAGATATACCATCACTTAACAATTTTTGCTGTAAAGGGTGGGATACTTAGATTGTACTGAATTGTTTGCTGTTACAAGTGATGCTCCAGTGAACATACTGATGGATTTGTGTTTGCATTCATGGTCAAGAATTTATCTCAGTTCAGATCCAAAGGCACAGAACTGTATCATCTATGAGTTCAAGCTTTTTTTTTTTTTTTAATTTTTATTGGAGTATAGTTGCCTGCTTTAGAGTGTTGTTGATCAAGCATTTGAAGTTTGCTAAATATGTCATGTAGGTCTTAAAAAAGGTTTCATTGACTTGATCCCAAAGTTTGAAATATAACACATTGTTACTTTTTCTCTTTTGGCTAATGGCACTTTCTCAAGGTTGTATCCTAGTCTGCCTCTCATGAGGCACCCTTTAAGGGTGTACATTTATTGACTAGATTTCTATTTACCTTTTCATTCAGTCCACACTGAGTGCCTAGAACTTTTGCTGGCCACTGGGGGCCCAACAGGAGTGAGATGGAGAGAATGTAGAATCCAGGTGGGGCATCAAACTGAGTCTTTGGAGAAGGAAATGGCAACCCACTCCAGTATTCTTGCCTGGAGAATCCCATGGACGGAGGAGCCTGGTGGGCCAGTCTGTGGGGTCACAAAGTGTTGGACACGACTGAGTGACTCAACAACAACAACAATCAAACTGAGTCAGTGGCCAGTTCAAGACATGTGGCACATCGTCCACCGGAAGCAGGGGCCGTGGGGCACCGGGGACAGCAGGTGACATTTGTGTTCAGGAAATCCTTCCCAGATACTGCGAAACGGAGTCCTCTGAGGCCAGTAGGAGCTGACCTGATAGGGTGTTCCAGGGAGGGGGGCACCAGATGCCCAAAGCCCCGGTAGCAAGTAGGCTATTCAGGAACCTGCGGATGAGGCTGAAGTGTAGAGGTAGGTGGAGGAGGGCTCTGCTGAAGGAGGTGAGAGAGAAAACACTGAAAAGTGAGCAGGGAGCCGGGTCTGTCTCAAAGGGCTTTCTGTACCGTTACTACCCAGCAGCAATAGAATACGAGCCACAAACTTTCAGTTTTTCTAGCAGTTAATGTTTTAAAAGTTTGTAAAAAGTGGAACCAATAGCCTATTTAATTTGATATAAAACATCCCAAATCATTATCATTTCAACATGAAATCAACATCAAAACCTATGACTAAGAGGTTTTACTTTTTTTTTTTTTCCTGCTCAGTCTTTGAGTCCGATATGTATGTGACAGTCACAGCCAGACCAGCCGTATTTCAAGTGCTTGGTGGTCACGTGTGTGGGGACGGCACAGCTCTGTACTGAGGCAATATGTTTGGGAAGCTGTTAATGCATTTTAAAGAGAGTGTGACATGATCTGATTTGTGGTGTAGAAAGAGAACTGTCGCTGGATTGGAATAGGGGAAGACTGGGGGATCTAACATGTTTCTAACGATGGGTACAAAATGTGTTTTCTCAATATACTTCTAACCTCTAAGCCTTCTGGGATTCCCTGGTAGCTCAGTTGGTAAAGAATCCACCTGCAATGCAGGAGACCCTAGTTCAATTCCTGGGTTGGGAAGATCCACTGGAGAAGGGTTAGGCTACCCACTCCAGTATTCTTGGGCTTTCCTTATGGCTTAGCTGGTAAAGAATCTACTCACAATGTGGGAGACCTGGGTTTGATGCCTGGGTTGGGAAGATCCCCTGAAGAAGGGAAAGCCTACCCACTCCAGTATTCTGGCATGCAGAATTCCATGGGCTGTATAGAGTCGCAAAGAGTCGGACACAACTGAGCCTTCTTGGCCATTTTCTGGTGCTTACATTAAACTGAAGTTGCCCTGACTCCCAGTCCTCTTTCTGATGTGACAAATGACCACAGAGGGGCCACATCTAATTCCACATTCATTTATGCATCTAACAATTATTTGTGCCAATGCCAAGTCCAGCATCAGACCTCATACAGTAGAAGACATTCTATGAAGGGACAGCTTGCCAGCAATAGTTACTGTTTCCAGTCATCAGACGTGCCTGCTTAGGAAAGTTGATAAGGAAACAAATAAGTATCATACCATGTAGCAAGTTCAGTGGACCAGTGTTTCTTAAACTTGTTTTGTATTACAGTAATGATTCTCACAACACCTGAAGATTTGTTCTCTCCTTATTTGTAACAACGTGCCTGCATTACTCAGAGTTCCAGTGGTTTTCCTGACTCCAGTCTTATCCTGTTCTGATCCTCCTGAAGTTTCTTTTCTCACTTGCTCTTAGCCAAAAGGCCGAGAAGCGAGGCAGTTTCTTTTCTCAACCGTAAATTAGCAGTTGTGAGGGTACCAAGACTGGATAGCAAGAGAATTGTTCCCTTTCTGGGTCAACCAATCAGCTATCGGCAGAGCTAGGATTCTAACCATATCTGACCTCAAGCTCTACGCCTTTTGTATTTGCTGTGGGTGCTTTCGCTAGGGTTTACAAACCTGTTGATCTTTCAGGGATGACTTGTTTCTGCTTTTATCAGGCTTGATTTTTATGATTTCACTGTTTGCTTATTATATTGTTTTGGAGTGTGTTCAACTGCAAAATTCACTAAACCCATTAATGATGGCTTCAAGACATAGAAGCTAATTGTTACAAAATAGGCCACTGCCTGAGAGCTTACCATACATCAGAGTGCTCTAGTTCCTGTGGACACAAGAGTGAACAAGGCCCACATTCTAAAGCAGGGAGCAGCAGATGTTGGTTTGTCAAGGGCCAGATAGTGAATGCTAGAATAGACTTTACACACCAGAGTGTTCCTACTCCAGCTCTTCAGCTCGTCCCTCATAGTATAAATGAAGGGCATGGATTTGATTTCAATAAAACTTTACTGTCATTATCATCATTACCATTTTTTTCACTATGGTCAAAAATAGGTACCACGAAATTTACCATCTTAGCCATTTTTAGGTAAATGTGCCATACAGTAGTGTGACGTATATTCATTGTTGTGCAATAGAGAGGACTTTCATTATATAAAACTGAAACTCTACACCCAATCAACAACTACTTCCTTTCCTCATCCCCCCAGCCCCTGGTGATCACCATTCTACCTTCTGTTTCTGTGAGTTTGATCACTTTAGATAGCTCATGTAAGTGGCATCACACAATATTTGTTGTTTTGTGTCTGGCTTATTTCACCTAGCATGATGTCCTCAAGGTCCATCGATGTTGAATATCAGAATGTCCTTCCTTTTTTAAGGCTGAATACTATTCCATTGTTGGCTCGATTACATTTTGCTTACCCACTCATCTGTTGATGGACATTTAGGTTGCTTCCCCGTTATTGCGAATAATGCTGCAGTGAGCATGGGTGTGTTGTCATTATTATTTTTAATACTACTGTCATGATTATTACCTCTGCCCGGCTTCATTTGGGAGGCTCCTCACATACCTGACAAACCAACAGGAAGCTTGCACGTGTGCTAAGTTGCTTCAGTCGTGTCTGACTCTGTGCAACCATATGGACTGAGGTCCCTGCAGACTCCTCCGTCCATGGGATTATCCAGGCAAGAATACTGGAATGGGTTGCCAGGCCCTCCTCCAGGGGATCTTCGAAACCCAAAGGTCGAACTCACATCTCTTGTGTCTCTTGCATTGGCAGGCGGGCTCTTTACCACCTAGCGCCGTCTGCAAAGCCCAACAGGAAGCGTGTTTGGTCTCAAATGCCCAGACCTGGTCTGTCTGTCACTACTAATTTTGTTTATTTATCTGTGTGTGATTTGTGGGAAACTAATTGTTCCCCCAAGGTCCCTAGCATGCCAAGTTGTGAACCTTTGTCCCGAGATGGTAAGGCCAGGCAACTCACATTGCAGCTCAGCCTTCCACCCTTTTCTCTTCATTTCATTTCTATCATTAAATAGCCCACATCAGAGCATTCTTCATAGTAAGGGTTTGAAAAAGCTTAAGCACTTAAGAATGAATGCATTCCACTGTCTAAGATGTGTTTCTTAAGACTGGGAATAAACCAGTGATAATTAGAAAGTAATCAGTTGTGCTCTATGCTCAATTAGACTTGACTCGTGGCTTGTCTGTTAATAGAGTTGATTGTTATGTTTACATGCAAGTCAGGCCCATGTTGTCCTTCAGTCCAGCAGCTGACCCATGGGACTGCCCTATAGGAGCAGAGAAATCTTTTAATCAGCTTTTTTCCCCACCATTGATTTGCCTTCCCATGGCAGGGACACTAGGGATCTTAGGAATCAAGACCCTATACCTAATATACCAGCTAATGGGTACGTAGAGTCTGAAGGCTGGTAAAGGTCAGAGAGGTTGGGTTGCCAGTGGACTCAGAGAGCTCACTGTCCTTGAACTTCTATGGTGTGCCATGCTCTCTGCTATTAACTTAAATGCACCTTGTTTGTTCTTCACCTTGTTCAGTTGTGTCTGACTCTCTGCGACTCCATGAGCTACAGCACGCCAGGCTTCCCTGTCCTTCACTATCTCCCAGAGTTTGCTCAAACTCAGATCCATTGAGTCAGTGATGCCATCCAGCCATCTCACGCTCTGTTATCCCCTTCTCCTCCTG